AATCAACAAATCCCCCAGCCAGCACCAAAACCCAGTGGGAAAGCTTGGCATGGGGTTTGGCAGAGAATGAAGTGAGAAATATCTTACCTGTGTGCCTGGTCTATAGGAGTCTAGGCCCATTTCCATAGCAAAGGGCCTCAAGGTCTGGTTGCCTGTCACGGACCATAAGATTCTCCATTTCCATAACAGCATGGGTTAAACTCTGGCTTTAGGCTCGCTATTAACTTTCCAGCTGTCTTATAGCAGGCCCCAGGGTGCTTGCACCCCATCGTTCTGTATTCTGAGCATTTGGGGCATGGGCAGGATCTGTCGTTGCCTTGGATGTGGTCATCGTTCGCTGGTATTCCTGCTTGGTAAAGGAGGTCTATCGTCCTTAGACAACTGTGTGTGAGTCTCAGACACTTCGCTGTGGGTGAGTTCTCGCTAATTTTGGTGTTATCCTTTTTTCCTACATGGTACCATGCCGGGAGGTCAAGGCAGATATCCATGGGGATATTGACGTCTTCTATGGCAAGGTTGTATTTGGCTCCGGTGTTCAAAATGGCTTTCAGTTCTCTGGGGAGGGTTTTGCTTGAGTAGCGTTTTTTCCTGAAGACGCTTTGGGCAAAGATATCTATTATTTTCGGGTTGCATTTTTCCTCATCCTGGATGTGTTTTGGGAGGGAGTGCATTAGTATTGCTTCTGCCGTGTCAGCTGTGGGCGGTCTACTCGGTGATCTATCAACTATCTTCTTTAGTTTTATCAGCCTTATTGCTTGTTCCTTGCTCTTATGTTTAGGACGTTTCTCCCACCTTCGCCTGGGGATCTACTGAGGGTGTCCATACTGACAGAGGGGATCTGTGAGTCCCAGATAAAATCTTTTACTAGGGTGCTAAGTTCCTTTTCAACCTTCGGTGGCATTCCTTGGGCTTGGGTGTGGAACTGGGTCATACTGCCTACTACCATCTGTGTGATCAGTTTACGACCTTCCAGGGTGGGGTAGGTTCTCTTCCAGCTGTTCAGGCTGGATTTGATCTTAGTTATTATAGTTGGCCAGGGGTCATGTCCATTCGAGTGGTTGCTGCACTGGGCGCCTAGATATCTCATTGTCTGGCCATCACGGAGGATGGTGATGTCGTTGTCCAGGGGTTGCTTTAAGTCAGGGTTCAGCTTCCTGGTGTTGGCTAGGGTGTCTTGGTACGGGGGCCTCAGGTCTGGCCAGCCCTATCCAGGGCACAATCTACTGTGGGTAAGGAGATGAGAAGGAAGCTAACTTCTCATCTTCCCACAGTGGCCACCATATCAGGAAAACTTCCGGGGATACCCGGAAGTCACATGAAGGCAGGGTCCGGGGCCGGACCATGCAGCGCATGGAGCATGCGGTGCGGGAATGCACGTGGGAAGCATAGCGGGTCCGGATGTGGGTCCGGGTCCGGGCTAGTCAGGGTGTGTGCCCTGACACAAGTTACACATCTGTGCCCTAACTTACTGACTGGCAACGAGAACTAAAGGGGGTCAACTCTAGTCGATTTTATTACTGAGGTGTAACCTATGTACAAGTTGAGTATATATAGTTACAACGAGGGTGGGCCTGTAAATGGTGGGGCCAAGTGGAGTGGAGCTAATGGAGTTAAACATTAGCCGATTGAATATTACCAAACAAGTCGGGTTACGGGGTTAGTGGAATGGTAGGCGATAACCCAGAAACAGAAAGGAGGGATAGGCCCGAAGGTGGGCTTGCAGGGCAAGCGAGTGAATTGCCCAGCGGAGGCGGGAGTGTGCTAGCGGACGTCGGAGCTGTTCTGCAAACCTTTGGGGCTCCATACTTAGGGAGGCATAAGTAATATATTGAAAGAGGGGGTGGTGACCATTGAGGAAGTGGAGGTGGTTGTGGAATACGGGAGCTCCAAGGTTAGTGAAGAAGGAGCGGAGGTAGTCCAGAGAGTTCGGAGGTAGTGGAAGTCGATGGCCATGTATGGATATGACACAAACAGAATCGATGGCTCACATCTTATTTGAGTGCCCCCTCAACCACGGAGATGTCAGGGACTGACCCGGGGTCGAGCGTGGAGGGACCTTGGCCTCAGCGACTCAAGCGGAGCGCTGTGCCATTGCTGTTTGTCCATTTGGTCCTTAATTTCACAGTAGGTGAGCAGGAAGTCTCTAGGGGGCATTTCAGGTCGATTTCGGACTGAACCAAAACAAGTATGTACAAGCGCCGATATATATAATGGAGGGGGCAAGAGCACAAGGAAACAAAGGGAACCGATCAGAACGAAGACGTCGAACAGGAACAAAGGGAAGAAGGAGCGGAGCGGTACCGAAGGTCATAAGGCAGGACCTGTGATATGGGAAGAAGCAGTAGTCCAAATAGGGATGAGGGGTAAACGCAAGAGATACATTACAAGCGGCGAAAGTGCCGAAGGCGATCCGCGAAGCTCAGGGGTTGCAGAGCTTATGGAGGTTACAGAGGTGGGGTTGAAAGTCCGAGGAATATTGGCAATGGTGTTTACGTAGTATGAGGTCACCAATGCAATGGACTAAGACCGAGGTGGAGTCAAAGTCCGAGGTAGGGACTATGACGGAGGCTCAGAGCAAAGGTACGAGTGGTGTCTGAGTACGAAGTACGGGACAGCGGTGGAAGGTCGTAACTTGGCAGAAGGGTGGCAGAGGAGTACCAGAGGGAGGAGAGAGGGGAAAGGTAAGGGGAAGGAGTGGCGGAAAGGAGGGTTGTCAGGTCCGAAGGTGAGTAATCGGAGCGGACGGGGGAAGCGTAGGAGGATGACGGGAGGGTGGAGGTTGTTGTGAAGGGGAGCGGAGTAGGAGGAGGAGGAGTAGTAGGAGGGTGGCAAGAGGGGTGGTGTTCAGTCCGAGGTGAGTATCGGAGCGGACGGAGATAGGGTCGGAGAGGTAAGGAGGAGTAGAGGTGGCGTGGGGGGTAGAAGGAGGTGTGTTGCCAGGACCGAAGGTGAGCATCAGAACAGCAGCGGTAGGTTATGACTCCGGAGGTGAAGAGGGTGGAGGTCTGGAAGTCGGGTCAGGGTTGGGTATGCACGGATATGACAGCGCCAGGTATATCGCCTGGGGCTGAGGGTCCGGTAGGTATGATGCGGGCGCGCGTAACAACAGGCCCGAAGCAGACAGGGTCCCTGGCCACTCAGGCTAAAGTGGGAAATGTGTTATTGTTATTATCAAGGGAAGTGTAAGCTACTTGCCTAAAGTGGGAAATGTGAGAAGAAGGTTGCTTCTCAGTTCCCACTTAGGCTGTGTTTATATACATGTGGTTGAAGGCCACGTGGGAAGTGCATGTCATCTAAGCACACAGCCACCTCCGTCCGGGTACCTCCGTAAGAGGTCCTAGGAGCGTCTGGTATGCGGGGGGTCATCCAGTGTGTCTGGGTCCGGGCACGTTACACTGCAGCCGGGTCAATGGTACATTGATACAAAGGAAGTTGTCTGTGTGATAAGAAAGGAATAAAGAGGAAAGAGAAGAGAAAAGAAGGGGAGGAAGAAAGGGAAGAGTAAAAGGGGAAGAGGGGGGAGTCGGGAGGAGCGGATGGTGGGCACCGGGTTAGGTGGGGCCGGGTCAGGTGGGTGTGCCCTGACAGGAGAATGGGCATGGGCTACAGCCAAGGCAATGTGTGACCACCAAACTAAATCCACCCCATGGTTTGTGATGTCGGAGGTCACCGGAGGTCATGTGCCCAAACAAAAAACAGACATAGAAAATGAAAATTCATTTCAGTTCTAGCTAGAGGTATATACAGGAGCAAAATGTTCGAAGTACAAGTGTAATTGGCCGAGCTTGCGAGGCGTTTGTAATTATTCATCCCAACCCAAACCCCCCGTGCGGCATTTTTTAAATAGACACATATACCCAATACACAACCACCAATCCCAATCCCAACCCTGACCCAACACCCACCCGAACCCGACACCAACCCTGAACCCAACACCCAAACACCCTAAATATCCAAACACCCAATGCAATAAAACAAAAAACAAAAAAGACCACAGCAGGAGTGAATTGAACCAGAGCCCTACACACTCAACATAACACACAAACGGCACTAGCCGTTAGGCCAAAGCAGATCGCAACTCGAGACAATGACGCTCGCGTATGCGGCATTTTAATGTCTTTGGTTACATGTTATGGTGGCATAAACCGTTAATATTCAATTCCCAATCCATGTAACAAATGTCGATCAACCGACACCTAAAACACAGACTGATGCAGATCTGATGCCCCTCGTGCAGGTGCGGCCCAAGGATATGGAACTTCACCATCATATTTATAACCACTGGGATGATCTTTGGTGGAATTCATTGCCTTGGATGTTCATTTCCCTTTCCGACACGCACAGAAATGATTTTATGGCTGGTTTCAGCAATATATATCACAGTGGCTCCTGTCTCTCCAATTATGTTGTCTGTATGGGCTCCGAGGAACCTTGGTAGCTTTGGGTCACTAATCATATTACGCACATTACTTGTTTATTGCGCTGCGCGAGTTAATCTTGCTTGTTCTCATTTTCAGTTCTTTGCGTTCACCTCCACCTGATCTATTCCAGACCCCGTCTTGGTTGTCGTTTCTCCCGCATTTGGATAGCTGTGTGTGTGGTGTACCGCGCTTCCGGTTAAATTTTTGTTTTACATAATAATACCACAAGTTATGCGTGAACAAACGCCCTTGCATTCCGTGTGCTCTTTACATCTCCCAATCATTCCTTCCCACTTCCCGTACTGCATGTGAGCTAGAAACTCGAGATAGGACCTCCTCTGAAGATTGTGTCACGTCGTATCAAACCGGGTGTTGCGCTAGCGCTAGCGCTAGTTGTTGGGAGCACTTTTGGATTCCCGAGCTGGTCAGAGTACCGGGATCTTATCTCAAACGGATTCCTCGTATAGTTACTGTCCACCTTTCCGCCCTTTCGTTTTTGGGGTCCTTCGGGAGCAATGTTCGTCTACTTACTTCGACCACTTCTACACCTTGAGTACTAGCCAATTAGTTCTATCACCGATGGCTCTTCCTCCCAATGGCCGCGTCATTCTCAAGACCTCTGTCGGAGAGATACAGAGATACAGAGGCGGTCAGTTGAATGCAGGTTTTTCTATGGGACAGATCGAATTATGGTCAGAGGTTGTCCATCACGTTTGGCAGGTTGCCCGGACTGAAACCTTGGGCAATGTATTAGGAGACTCCCAAAGCGTGCAAGAATAGCTATGGAAGGCGTGGATGACGATTTGCTGCATGATGTCTCCCGCTACATCTTCAAGGTTACTACAATGGCGTTATCTTCCACAGAGTAGTCCCTAGATTTCTTGTCCAGGACTGGAGATAGGCGAGGGAGAATCATTCTATTAGCCATTGGTTCGAGGACGAAATACACCCTAGACTGCGCTATGCCCACCGTGGGTGAGGATGATGCCGAAAGACAAAGAAGACGCGTGCTAACACCCTGGCTTTGGTTACGATCGTGTGGATGAACTCCAGGGGCAACACACATTATTCGGAAGAGTTGTCGGAAACACGGTCGTCAGTAGCGTGGAAGGTGAAGCAGCACTGCTGATTGAAGATTTATCTCATCAAGACGCTCTCAGAAGGGGATCTAATATAGTATCCAGCCAAGATAAAATTTATTCGGATTGTTGATAATCCATTCGATAATATTGTAACGGCAGCGAAGAAGCGAGCGCAGCACCTAGCCAGAGAGGCGCAAAAGGAGCAGGAGGAGGCTGCAAGGGAAAGTTTATCATTTGAGGCATGGGGAGGCGTGGATTCAGAATCAGATTGCTCCCACGACTGACTTGACACCCGGAACCGAATAGGAGTTGTTCCGTTCAATCTCGATGTCATTCAAGTCCCCACCCTGCCAGTTGCACCGACCGCGGCGAGTTTTCAGGCACGAAAGGGGAAGAAGATTGTAGGAGAAGTATGTGTCACCACAACACGTGATCGATGACATTTTCGTCATAGGTACCTGAACTCCGTTGCTTTCTTGGCGATGACTAAGCTCACCTACACTTCTCGTGACTCTATGTATAATAGAACCGGTCTTCGTGCTCCGCGCCGCTGCAAATTCGACAAAGTGAAATTCCGCATGCAGCGTTGTATGTAAAGATGCATACCCCTGTCCACGGGCCTATAAGGCCCATGCTCGTTTATGCTTTGTGTGTCTGCACTCGCACTCTATCAACCCAATGGCAACCGCTCTGGCTCTTTTCACCTTTCTTCTTCTTGCCTACAGTGTTTAACTCAGCGCCCATCCCGCAAAATGTATCTGATGGTTGCAACGATCTCCGGAATTGCCGAACGATGTGGGGCCTCGTCTATGGTTGTCTCCTTACCGTCTTTGCTTGCGTTTGGACGGCGGTACACCCAAATGTACCACAGCACGACGGTGATATCTGGTCGTTTTCATCGCATGTTGGTTTGATGATGGCTTCACTGGTTTCGCCGGAGTGGATTCTGGGGACTGCATGGCGCCAATTCATGTTGTCTCGCAGAGTGTCAAAAAAATACAAGATGGTTGAAGGTGTGTCCTGTATTTGTAACAGTAAGGGGCGAGGCACTGACTCGCATTGTCACAAGGATGGACCTTGACCCATTCATACTTTGTCGTCATGGATGGTTTCTTCGACCCATCAAAAGGAAAGGTGGTGGTCCCGGAGAAGTTGCAGAAATATCCTGGCATAATTGAGAAGACGGGGAATACTAGAAAGGCCGCAATCACAAGGAAAGGAAATTCTCGACAGAAGCAAAGGCGATGCGATTTCCAAATGTCTCGTCGTCCTCCAATTACTATGGTTTATCATTCAATACGTCGGACGATGGGGAACCCACTTGAACAGATCGCAACTCGAGACGATGACGCTCGCGTATGCAGCATTAAGTGTCTTTGTTTATGTGCTGTGGTGGAATAAACCCGTTAACATTCAATGCGCAATCCATGTAACAAAAGAGACGTCCGACAAGAATCTCGGATCAACCAACGCCTAAAACGGAGCTTCAAGTTGACGCAGATCTCGTGCAGCTGTCTGGGCCCCAGGAGACGGAAGTCCTATTCATATTTGCAGTCACTGGGATGATCTTTGGGGATCCATTGCTTTGCATGGTCGTTTCCCTTTCCGACACACACAGAGATGATTCTATGGCGGGTTTCAGCGATAATATATTACAGTGGCTCCTGTCGTTGCGATGTTTGTCGGATGGGTCCGCCGATCAAGTCGGTGAGGCAATCGGTGCAGGTGTGATATTGGTACCTATTTCAGTTGTTTACGCCTGTGCGCGGGTCATCCTCTTTGTTCTCACCTTCAGTTTCTTTGCGTTCACCTCCACCTGATCTGTACCAGACCCCGTCTTGGTCGTCTTTTCTCCCGCATCTTGGATAGCTGTGCATGTACCGGCCGCGCTCCCGGTTAAAATCGTGTTTTACATGATCCAGGAGACAGCAACAAGTTATGCGTGAACAAACGCCTCTTGCATTTCCGTCTGCTCTTTACATCTCCGAATACATCATTCCTTTCCCCACCTCACCCCATATTCTTTGCCTCCTCGTACTGCATGTGAACTAGGAACTCGGGCTAGGACCTCCTGGAAGATTATGTCACATCGTGATCAAACTGGGTGTTGCGCTTGCGCTAGTTGTCGGGAGCATTTTTGGATGCCCCAGGCTGGTCAAAGTACCGGGACCTTAAACGGATTCGGATGAGCATCGTACAGTTTTCTGTCCGCCTTTCCGCCCTTTCGTTTTCGAGGTCTTTACGGGAGCAAGTTCGTCTACTTCGACTACTTCTACTGACCAATTAGTTCCATCACAGATGAAAAGGCCGCGTCATTCTTGAAACCTCTGTCGGAAGAATAGAGAGGGGTGTTCCAGACACAAGAGTGGTCAATTGATGCAGCTTTTCTTTGGACAGATGGAATTATGGTCAAATATCTTTAGCATCTGGTGCCAGTCGTGAACCGAAGCTAGTACGAGCCTGGGAACGTATTCTGTCACCGTCCTAGTTGAGATGAGTGAGAGGGAACTGTGCGTCCCGGACACGACAGTCCGCGAGCTCGACCCGGTAATCATTGTGGCAGAAGTAGACGGCGAGGATTGAAGGAGCGACAGATGGCCAGTGTCGAAGGAAGGTTGTCGGTTGTGTTGCCGATGTAAAGATATATAGAAGCACGGCCAAAGTGCCAATAGTATACGAAGCTATTTAGAACAACTAGGAGATGATCGTTGGCGCGGTGCGGGACTCCCAGTACAGCCTAGAGTGGCCGGCGTTCTGTACGTCAGTGGATAAAAGATGATATGAAGAATGTGCCAGGACTGCAAATTGGACCAAACCGAGTCTACGTAAAGTCAAATTTGTTTCAAGTGAATGAAGATACGCACGTTCTTTAATTTCCAAGAACAAGGACCTGCGCGGCTCATAAAGCGCTGAACATAGGGTCATGCCGGCCGTAGGGGTGGGGACTTGAAATGGAACAGAACAACTCCTAAGGGTTCATCAGAAGGGTAGCATAGTAGGACACGAACTTTCGTGCCTGGCACCCCAAAGCTTCGCCCTCGCCCGCTCGAAAGATGCGCCATCCGCGGCTGATCCCTCAGGTTCTCACAGGGGTTCTTTGCGGGTGACTGATCATATTATTTCACCGGGCCGGCCCGAACAAACTCCCCACCTAAACATGATGAAGCACTAGGAGCAATACACGTGACACCACCTCGAAAAGAGAGGGCCAACGTCGTCTGGAACAGAAACACAACCACACACACACCCTAGCCCCCTAATCCCCACCTATAAGACACCCCAACCACCACCATGGCCGATTACCAAAACTCGGACCCAGGAGGGAAAACCTGAAACTAACCGCCGCTAACGTACCCAACGCCCAACGTAGGGCCAGACCATGACAACGACGCATGGACGGACCTCGACACACCCCAACTCCCTAGAATCGCCCAAACGGACGTGGAAATGGAAGACAAAACCTGCTGGCACAAAGGAAGAACTTGAGGAACAAGACTACGCTTGCATCGATAACGTCTCTGAAACGATGAAAGACACACTCGAAAGACTCGCACTCCTCAGATCCGTGGGCCTCTGGAAACACCTCCACTATTACAAAGACTGGATACGAGAGATAACGAACCTAGACATCGAGAATAACTGCCCCAACCCGCTGAGTCCCAAACCTGATAACCTCGCTGCGATAAGCGCCAAGCTCACAGAGCTGACGCAAAGAATTAACACACTAGAATCAGGACAGTAACAGCAAAGCACCCCCTGCCCAGGGACCCAGTCACCGTAGCCACCCCATGGCGTTCCACAAAGCCACCTGGGCGAAACATAGCAGCGAAGACCCCCCCCGCCCAAAACCAGCCCAACCCCAACAAAAGACCAGGACACCACGCCACCGGACACAACAAGCCCCGCCACAACGGCGGACCCGAGGTGCCTCATCATCCAGATACACCCCCCGATCAAACTAGAAGAACGCCGAACGGCATCGAAGCACGCAAGAAGATCAATGACCTACTGGAAAAGAAAAAACATACCACACTACCTCAGAGTGATGGCAATCGGATACTCCGTAGCTGGCAACATCAAGGTCACTACTGCCCCCACGTGCAAAGCGTCAGACCTCATCGCCTTCGGACACGAAATAGCGGCCACCATCACTCAGAACGAAGTCGTCTCAGTACTACAGATGTGAACACTACCGCGTAAAGATCAATAAAATCCCCACACATGGCAACAACGAGCTGATTACACCCGGAATGGTACACGAGGAACTAGCCACCTATGTACCACAATACAAAAGCCTCAGATACTGGAGACTGCCAAAATGGCTCGGACAGATGAGATCCGCTAAGAACTTCGATCCGCGTATCATATCGTCGAATCTAACAAAAAAAGACAGGGACACACTGCTTAGCTCAAATCGGTCTACTATTCAACACGAAATGCACGATCACCCCATATGAGGACCGGATCCAGATCCACGCATGCAGCAAATGCGGTATGCTTCCCACCGCACAGCTGTCTGCAAAACAACCCCGTTGCCTGAAATGCGGCGCGAAAGACCACGAAACTGAATCCCACCCCACAGAGAGCGAACCCCGATGCATTAACTGCAAGGGTAAACACGTGAGTGCGCACAAAGACTGCAAAGCTAGGAGAAGCCGCATGGGCCTCCCCCCAACGCCGAGGAACATGCCCACAAACCCACACTGCCCCGACCGACACCCAGACCGAGAAAAGTACGAAAAAGAAAGGCAAAGGTAAGCAGAAACCAAACACATCCCAAACCATACCAGATGCCCCCCCAGAATACGGTCTATCGGACCAAGACCTGAGCAAAATCCTGAGCCAACATCAATCCCCAGCGGCCCAAAAAGCATCCGCAGCCAAAATGGTCAGTGCCAGAGCCAGGGGCGGCTTAACCACAATCCCGTCTATCAAAATCACCCTTCCCAAACCCAAACCTACCGGCAACCAGATGGAAATCGAACCGTTGAGCCAACCTGAAGGGCCAACTCAATGAATCGACGACCAAAAGCAACAGCAACACTGACGGTGTGCAGTCTGAATGTCAATCGCTCAAATGCGGCCACACAGGCCGCGATGCACAACATTGCCAACAGAAAGAACCCCCAAATCGATATCTTACTCATCCAAGAGCCCTGTGGCACAAAGTAAACAACACCCACATCCCAGTCGCCTTCAAGGGGTGGCAAACCATTCTTCCTAAACTACCCATCGCTGAAGGCGACAGGCCTAGAGCTATGGCATACTTCCGGCAGAATGCAAACATAGAACTCACTTTGAGGAATGACCTTGCGTCAGACCTCGATTACTTGATTCTAGATGTTAAAAGAAACGGCTCAACACAACAACCAGTGAGACTCATTAATATCTACAACCAAAAATCGCTCAACATGAACCAGACTAAAGAGTACACGGTGGAAAGACTGGCAGAAACCATGACGGACACAGACATTCCAACCGTCCTCACAGGCGACTGGAATATCCGACACCCGGACTGGGATGACCATGTTGACACACCCTGCCCTAGAACCGTAGACACACTAGAATGGCTTGAAGGTGGATCATACTCACTATGCAATGAACCCTACGTGCCAACCTGGGAAGACAACAATGGCCACTCATCCGTGATTGACCTCACCTTCGCTAACTCAGCAGCTAGTGGAGCCGGGGCCATACATGGCCACTACATTGACACGGAAATCGGTTGTCTTTCGGACCACCACGCCACAATATTCCAAATCGGCCCTCCAAGAGAGCTGGTTGTCAACCCCTGTGAATCCAAACTAAACTGGAAACATGCAAATGAAGAAGAATTCACCAAAGCACTAATAGAGGAGATAACCTGTGAAAATCAAAAAGTAGAAAGCCTAAAGGGCAACCTACTTAATGAGAACCGGCACACAGCGTCACCTGAAGAATTAGAAGAAGCCACGGCTACTATCCACAAAATAGTGGAAAATGCCGCCGCAAAATCCGTCCCACTCAGACGCCCCAGCAAGGCCTCAAAACCCTGGTGGAATGAAGACCTAACTAAGTCATACCGCGAGCTGAGACAAACCAGAGACTCACTAAGAGGATGGGTGAAAGACTTCAACCGCCCATCAGTATTCCTTGCAGACAAAGTAAAGTCCCTACAGAAGGACATACGCACGTGTATCAGAAAAGCCAAACAGGAATACTACCGCAAACTCACTGAGGAAGCCAACCCAGGCAACATGTGGGACTTCCGTAAATGGACGAAATGCCAAAGGACATACACCTCCCCCCAATAGTAAATGGAACAGAACACCCAGCGATAAATCACAAAGAAAAATGTACCATACTGCGCGAAAACCTCTTCCCCCAACCACCACCACTACCAGATGCCCCAACAATTAACCTCACCCCCCGCAATGAAGA